TACCTGGTCTCTGCGCCTACAAGGGTTTTGCTCACATAGTATACTGCCCTTTATTCTTCCTTTTCTTCATTGATTACCACTGCGCTCACTGCATGTTTCGAAACCGCCAAGTATAAGAACAATTCCTCTCCAGGTAATGGATTTGAGAGAACTGGAGCTATGGTTAGGTATCTTTTTAAGTCAGTCAAGGCGACTTCACATTCCTCTGTCCACAAGCAGTCTATGACCTTTTTCAACAGACTAAAAAATGGTGTACACTTATCTGAACTTCTACTTATGAATCTATTCAGGGCTACGACCCTTCTAGTCAACATCTACACTTATTTTGCCGACTCTGGGCTTTTCAAATCCAGGATGGCCTTGATTTGATCTGGGCTTGCTTCAATGCCCCTTCTGGTAACCAAGTATCTCAAGAACTTACTAGATCCAACTCCAAATGCACATTTCAAAGAATTGAGTCGGAGCCGATGTGTTATAAGGATATCGAAAATAGTCTTTAAGTCGATCAGGTGGTTCTCAGGTTCTCAGGTCTTCATGACCATATCATCAATGTATACTTCCACTGTTTTGCCAATCAGATGTCTCAACATGTTGGTCACTAACCTCTGGTACGTTGTTCTTGTATTTTTCAACCCGAAAGGCATTACTCTGTAACAATACAGTCCTTTTGAGGTGATAAATGCAGTTTTCTCTTCATCAGGGGAGTACATTGCTATCTAATGGTACCTCCTGTAAGCGTCCAAGAAGCTCATCTTTCCATGCCCTGAAGTTGCATCTACTAATTGATCAATCTTGGTGAGTGAGAAACTGTCTTTAGGACAAGCCTTATTCAGACTAGTAAAGTCCACACAGACCCTCCACTTCCCATTCTTCTTTTTCACAACCACAATGTTGGACAGCCAAGTAAGGTAGTTTACCTCTCGAATGGCTTTGGCCTTTAACAATTTGTCCACTTCCTCCTGTACTACCTCCACACGAACCAGCGTCGGCCTCCTTGCTCACTGAATAATGATTTTAGCCGACCTATCTACATTCAGTCTGTGGCATGTAACCTCGGGATTAATGCCAAACATCTCGTAGGGCGTTCAGGCAAACACCTCTATGTTTGCTCGCAAGAATGCTTCTAACTCCCTTTCCTTATTCTTGGCCAAGCTTGAGCGAAAAGGAAGAAGCACTTTTCATCCCCTTGCTGGACCAGAATTTTTTTCAAGGCTTCTTCGCTTTTGTCGACTGGCTCTTTGCCGACGTCATCCAAGACTTCCATGTCTTCTTCCTCAATTTCGATTGTCTCTGCTTCTCGCATGTTGCAGGTGGATTTCATTGCTGCCATGGAGCAATTCTTTGCCTACATTTGATCCCTTCTGACCTCCTCAATTCCATGCTCTGTTGGGAACCGCAACAGCTGGTGTAGTGTTGTGGAAACAACCCTCATTGCATGCAACCATGGCTTTCCCAAGATAACATTGTAAGGGGAGGGGGTGTCAATTACTGTGAACTCTGTGCTTACCTTTTTGGTCCCTACCTGCACCTCCAAACTTATTGCTCCCAAGGACTATGTCGGTGTTCCATTGAACCCGACCATTGGACCATTGGACTGCTCCAGATCATCTCGGTGAAGGCAAAGCTCCTTGTAACATCTGACATACATAATGTCACAACAGTTTCCTTGGTCAGTCATAATATGCCTTACCTGGCATTTTCCAATCTTAAGGGATATCACCAGAGCATCGTTGTGTGGATGTTGCACCATGTCTAGGTCGGCTTCAGTAAAGGACACCATTGGTCCCTGGTACTCGTCTACCCTAGGCCTCTTTTGTTGGACCTGATACACATGCTATAAGTGCTTTACCCTCTGAGTCTCCCCACGTACCTCGTTTTCATTGATCTTTGAGTGAATCACATTGATCACTCAAGGTCTGTCTGCTTACGATTGCGATGCTGGTGAATGTGGTGCTGCCGGTGCCTGGGGCAGCGTTGTTTGCTCTTCCCTTGTTCTGGCCTCATCTACCAAGTCCCTTAAGTGACCTTGTCTTACTAGATCTTCCAAATGTGATTTTGGGCTCTACAACCCTGTGTTAGGTGTCCATCTTCATTGTGGTAAGTACAGTGTTTTCCCAGGCTTCTTCCTATGAATTCGCCAGGAATCTTTTTTGGTACTCTATAATATAGTTGGCTCCTGATTCTTTTTAGAACTTTATAAACCAAAATTCGGAATACGGTGGTGACTGCCTGTGCAGTCCTTAGTCCTGTCTCTTGCCTGTTAAATCCAGTATTACCTTATCAGCTTCGCTTCGGCGAGCCGTTTCTCTTCTCGTGTTTCGACGCCTTTGTCCCTGACGTGTCTTCTTCAGTTTTCGCATATTTCTCAATCCTGGCCATGAGTTCCTCCATACTTTTTGGCAGCGTCTTTGCTAGTGACTTTCGAAGCAGGCAGTCATCGTTCAGGCTGTTCTTAAAAAATATGATCACCAACTCTTGGTTGCACCTTGGTGTTCGGTTAAAAACCTCATAATACCTTTTGGCATAAGCCCTGAGGCTTTCATCCTCACCGATTCTCAAAGGAATCAGGAAGTCTACCCTCAACGGTTGCAGTTTGTTTGTAACGAACCTAGCCACAGAACATTTTGGCCAAGCCTTCCCAACTTTTCACAGTTCCTTTCGACAACTTGTGAAACCAATTTGATGTGATTTCCCCAAAGGATGAGGGGAACACCTTGCAGAGCAATGGTTCGTTCCTGGTATACAGTGCCATTAAGTTCAAATATAAGCCAATGTGAAAGTTATGATCGGACTTACCGTTGTATATTTGGAATCTCGACATGTGAAACCTTTTCAGAGCCTCAAATTTGTCCAATTCTACTAAGAACGGCGTTCTCGACTTGACCGAAGACGTGACCTCGGTATCTTGTCGTTTCCTCTGAAGGTAGTCCCTCAAATCCTCCTTAGTTCATCTAGGAGCTCGGCTGTCAATAGATTTCAACCTTTTTGGTGTACTGCTCCCGGTGTTGTTTTGAGTCCTGTTGGACCTCTCTTCATTCATCGTGCCAAAACAAAGCTCATTTCCTTGAACATGCCGATGTGTCGTCTAAGACTCTCCTCTCATCGATTCTCCTCCCCCGACCTCCTGCGAAGGCCGATATGAATGCTCCTTTGCCCTGTCATACTGAAAGACTGTGGGGATTGCTTTATGTCCCCCTTTCTGGGTGTAACAACCCTCATACTGTTTACTGATTAATGACTGATTGATTTTATTTACTGTATTGGCTTCCGCCAGGCCCTGTACTCTGTTTCACTGTATTACTGTTAAGCAGGCCTTCGGTAATCTCGGATTACTGGCCGGTTACGGTACTAAACCCATAGGGCCGGGTTTGGGTCGTGACACTGGGCATCGTTCTTGGCCGTTGGAATCGGCGTGTCCTCCAATGGAAACTGTGGCTGCTGACGTTGTTCTGCATAATGAAATTGACAACCGATTGTAGATCTGCCAACTTGTTTGCCATTCCCTTCATCTCATAGTCTCTCTTCAGGCATTTATCTTTCCATACCTGGAGATCGCTTTCGTTGTAATACCCACCTTGACATGCTTTTTTCAGTACGTCTCCTTCTTGGCCGACGTCTTTTTCTCCGGGATTCTTATCCCGAGGCTCTTCATTACAGTTGTCTTCCTCAACGTTAGGATCGGTGTTTTTACTACTCTCACTAGGGACGTCACCCTCAATCTTTTCTTTTTGCCCGTCGTTGGCCATCTATTCTCCTTACGTTTCCCACAGACGGCGCCAAATTGTAGGTGTTGATTTCCGACTACACTACCAAATAGGAACTCAGCAGAAGAGCACAAGCAGAATAGATCATGCCCAAACAACCTGTTACAAAAAGATAAGAATACTGGTGGTGGTTCGTCCACCCGGGGACACTCCGACGATTAAGTCAGTGCTCAATTATCTTTCAAGGATAGCAAATAATGCTTTATTGACTAGCCAAAATACAAAAAGTGTACCTTAGACCCACGAGAGTGCCTTACTTTTATAGCCAGCACTAACTTGATTTTGTAGAAGCCTCGCTTCACTGGACTTTGGCTCAATGCTCATCTAGGACTCCCAGCCGGATAGAGATAAACTCCCTAAGAGTTTTATCTTTATCCATACCAAGGTCCTCCCCAATTCTAGAACTCTTGTCCCTTATCCGCTCATTTCGGATTCCGGTATCTCCGCAAATAACCTCAGCGCCATAACCAAGACACGTAGCACCTCGATTGACACTTCGACGTCACCTTGGCCACGTGTTGCCATTCACAAAATATGTCTCCACACTAAAAATTCGTAATCCAATGATCAGATTCAAATTGCTTTATAAAAATTATCAAGATAATATCACCGTTTATTTTTAAAAAAATAAGCGTGCTCTTATTGTAAAGTTATAAATTTCCAATCAATTAATTTTTTGTATGGATGATCTATTCAACAAACTCTATAATATGAACGGTTCAAATTATCAAACAATATTCAGAAAAAGCCTCCACAGACTCGCAATAGATCGCTGTTGTGACTTAACCACAGCAAAATCCCCAGATCCATTATCCTCGTCACTAATTCTATTAAGCAAATTTTGAGCAAAGATTTATAAAGAAAAGGCAAAAAGACTTAAAAGCAAAATAAATTAACTTACTTTTTTTTTTAATTTTCCTTTCTTTTTATTTATTTATTTATTTTTTACCATTTCAAATACAAGATTTAAGCACAACCAAGAAACAATGAATGAGAAACGAAGAAAATAACACAAATCATATTCCATTTATGGAAAAAGATTAGATTAAACGAAAATCGAAAAAATAATTGGTTGAATTACAACTATTAGATTTCTAGACACAGCATATTCCATTTCAATACCATTAAGTAAATTCCAAAAAAATAATAATAATAATTCTTCTCATCAAGTTGACAGCTACTCTCTCCCCCTCCTCAGCCGCCGCATAAATTCAGCCAGTTATCAAATTTTTCATGTAAAAAAAAAAATACTTTGAAACTTTCTTGAAAATTCAATGTAACACATGTTCTGTCAATTCTGTAATAGATATGAATTTACAAACAAGGTCATCAATCTGATGACAAAAGATATGAAAAATTAACTGACTATTTTAGGTCTATAAAATGGAGGATCTTCTCCAAGCAAAAGAGACCTTAAAATGCCTTCACATACAGCACTGTCGTACACAAGCAAGTGTCCACCATCGGGGACTTCATGGTACCGAACCCATGGAAGCTTTCTTGAAACAAATCTTTGTAATTGGTAAGGCACAACCCTGTCTTCATAGCCTTGCCAGATGTGAACATTGCTTTCGTTTTTCGGGTATGGGTTTTTTAATTCCAATGGATCAAAGTCCCACTTGCTAAATGCCACGATGAAGTCACGCCGGAGGGAGTTGAAAACACCTCGCTGCTTCAACTTATCCTGCGAGGGAAAAGAAAATGTATGTCACAATCATTTTTCATAGCGGATCAGCAAAGCGGAACACACATAGATATATATATACACATATACAAGCAACACGAATATCTCTACAGTCTATTTCCAGCAGCCCTGGCTGGTTGGAGTGAGAAGTATGGGATATGTGGCTTTGTTAATCTAAACCTCACAGGATCTTTTCCTGTACCTCCCATGTTACAAATTGATACACCAAACAGTGAGACATGAAACACAAATAATAATAAAATAAGAATCTAAATCACACAAGAACACAAAAACAAATGCAGTTTCACCTCAAAATGGGAGACATCCAAGTTCGCTGTGTTTTCAATATGATCCGAAAGGTTACAATACAATTCAGAGAGATGCGACACTTCAACTATAAATCCATAGTATTAGGGCAACATGACAAAACTATATAAAATTCAAAAAATACCCGTACTCCAAAAAAGTTGGATCTGTAGTCGAAGGGTTTATGTTTAGTACTTAACAAGATCCATGCTATCCAACATCCCGCTCTATTTACTACTTATCAAGATCCACACTACCCAACATCCGCTCAATAAAGAATACTGGTTACTCATTCGATCCATTTGTTATTGCCTCCTCAATCATTTTGCATAGCAGATCAGCAAACTGATATATATCTTTTTAATTTGTTTAGTAGATTCAATCAATTGAGTATAGTGCTCAAGTTTCAAAGTCTTTAACATTCTTTCCACAAGGTTGAGCAAATTCATATGCTAACTAATGAACAGGTTGAGCAAATTCATATACCTGGTTTAGCAATTGATACCCTGGGGTAACCTTCAAGACCTCCATGTCTTTATTGCTGAAAAATGCAGGATTTCTATCGAGGACAGAAGAAGAAGGGAAAACTTTTTGAGTCAACCACCAGTGTAGTAGTCTAGGCATATGGCGTGAAACCCAAAGTGTTCCCCGCGATAGATTCTTCCTGTAGTCATCCTTTATCAGATCCTCAGGAAGAGAAGGCCAGTTGTAATTGATCATCGGAACTACCAGAGCCACCCCTGCTAGCCTGCAAGAACAAAAGCAACAGGTGTTTTAGTGTAGACATAAATGGAAGCACAGAAGTGAAGCTAAAGGGCCTCCGAGTTGTGCTCATATGAGCTGTGCACCAAACAGCCCCGAAGTCTATAGTGAGTGTTGTCTTTGCCTGTGTGGTATACGTTTGAGGCAGCTCCAGGTCGGGTAAGATCCAAGTGAGACTCCAATTACATAGAACTTGGGTCCTAATTGTAGCTGATCAGCAAGTTCTTGAATGTCGAATGCTTCGCTTTTGACTGAGCGCTTTGGATTTGGATCACTTTCTTCATACCCAGCTCGATCAAATAACAGAAGGTATACCCCCAACTCGTTCATTAGCTCCTGGAAATGGAAAGTAAATCATTTTAAGATTTGTTTTACTTAATCTTGTTAAACACCATTGCTTCTTTGATTGGAAAGGCGAAACAGGGTTGCTTATCAAAAACATGAACTGTTTCCCCAAATGGTGGTTTGTTTAAAGCCTTTTGATACATGGGCTTGGAATTGCTGTCTTGTGCCTTTTGTGTAATGTGAATTTTGCAGCATACTTTATCATAAATTCTTCAAACATCAAAGAAGAAGAAAAAAAAAAAAACCCATATCAACATTAGAAGTGAAACCAACGTAATATTGGGGCAATCTTGTTTCTGAAGCACTTTGGAATTGCCCAGAAATTTCTAGATAACTTTCTCCATACCTAGCTAGAGTTGTGGAATTTGTTGCTGCTTTTTCCCTAAACTTTCAAGAAGAAAAAAAAAAAAAACCCATATCAACATTAGAAGTGAAACCAACGTAATATTGGGGCAATCTTGTTTCTGAAGCACTTTGGAATTGCCCAGAAATTTCTGGATAACTTTCTCCATACCCAGCTAGAGTCGTGGAAACAACCTCCCAACCCAAGAAAAAGAGTAAGGTTGCATATGTCTTGCCTAGACCCCTGCTTTACCGGGGCCCTCATGCATTGACTCGCCCTTTTAATGTGTATTACCAAAAAAGGAGCAAGAAATAAGAATTGAGTTGCACCATATACATGAAAGAGTATACAATAATGATGTATTCTGTGAATCAAATACCATGGTCTAATAATAAAACATTCTGATTAGTTGAAATTTTGTCAAATATTCCTGTGAAAAGCTTAATTGATCTTAACAATAATTAATACATTAAATTTGTCAAAGCATCACAGAATCAATATTGTCCTTTTCCTTTCCTTTTGAACTGCTATGACATGAGATCTTGTAACATTCAGATTCAGATGCATTTTCTATGTAATTCCCCCCCAAAAATTACCATTCACTAATAGGTTTCTCATTCTATTCTGAACTGATTTAGTGATTTTCCACCCTGACCACCTATACAAATTTAAGCTGTGTTTCTCAAGTTCTTTATATGAAAGTCTAATATTGGAAATCTAAAAGAGAATTTCAGATCAACAAAAGCAAAATTGAGGAAGAGGGTTTTTATCTGAGTACTTGGGATGCCATGAAATTCATTTCTTTGGAGCTACCAAATCCATGAACAACAATGACTTTGTAGTTAGATTTGTTCTTGGGAACTCCTCTCTCTCTGTAAGCCAAGTACCTCCCATCACTGAGTCTGACCCTCGGTGGATCATCTGATGATGATGATGAAGAAGAAGATGAAGAAGATGATGATGAAGATGATGATTTAGTAGTGTCTGCAGGTGCAAGAGCAGGTTTTGATTTTGAAGTCTGATAGGTTATTCCAAGACAACCCAAGAACATAACAGCCACTCTCCTGAAAACCATCTCTGAAAAAATTCAAGAAAATACAACAAAAAGGGTGAGTCAAACACCTTTTTAGGGAAAAAAAAGTGAATTTTTTTCTTTTTTCTTTTCTATCCATCCAAACAGAGAAGGGTTCGGGGGCTTTACCAGATAGAGAAGCTTTTCAGGAGAAACCGTGTGTGTAGATTTCAGATTCTGAAACCTTTAAGAAGATGAGGGTCTCATTTGCTTTGATGGTAAGAGAGCTCTGGCTTGTTCTGTAGAGAAAATGAATACTGTAGAGAGAGGGTTGGGCAAGACAAAAATGTGAGCACATGGTGTTTGTTTCTTGGGAAAGTCATTTAAATTGCATTTTGAATTTGTTCTTTTATTTTAATTGGCTGTGTTTAATGGGTCATCTTATTGGCAGCAGATCAGCTTTTGCTCTTTTATTACCCTTTTTATCATCATTCATGGCCTAATAGTTCACATTCAACACAAATATTAATATTTAAGTAATTTTATTATTTAATAAAAGATTAAAAATTAAATTAAATTACTAATTCTGGTTCTCATCTTTTGTCAATGTTAATAATCTTAAAAATATTATATACTTTCGTATAAAAATATATATCATAAAATATATAATTTTCTAACATGGTTCATGGCCTAATAGTTCACATTCAACACAAATATTAATATTTAAGTAATTTTATTATTTAATAAAAGATTAAAAATTAAATTAAATTATTAATTCAATCAATCATTTATACTAAGGTTTGGTTCTCATCTTTTGTTTATATTAGCAATCTTTAAAATATTATATACTTTGTATAAAAATATGTATAATAAAATATATAGTTGCGTTTGGTAGAATTTTAAAATTATGATTTGAGAATAGAATTGTATTTTGAGTTTGTAAGTTTCGAAATTATGATTTGAATATAAAAAACTTGTTTGGTTATGAATTTTAAAAAGAGTTGAAATTGAGTGATGTGACATATAATATTAAAAATTGATGTTTTGAAAAGTAGGTGTCAAATTAATTTTTTAAAATTATAACCAAACAATACACTCAAATTAAGGGACAGAACTAAACTTTAAAAGCTATGTCAAACAGAGCCTATAATTTTCTAAAACCTTCTTATCATGTACTCTTCGAGAACAAGTTAATAAGATATTTTAATACCATTGACAAAGGAGAAGCGAAAAAAAATAAAACAAAAAGGGAATAAAGAAATGCGGACCATCCATCAACTTGTAAAATTCCGAACTGACCATAGAATATTAGGTGACTTAAGTTAGTTCGGACATTTGATTATCAAACAATAAAAAAAAAAAAAAAAAAAAAAAAAAAAAAAAAAATATAGAATACTAGGTGACTCTGTTAAAAAAAATAATAATACAAGGTGACATCAGCCCACATTTATTATTAATCATTATATATATTGTTAGTAAAATACCAATATAAGATAATTTCGTTCATAAGTATGAGAATTCCATTCATGTTAAAAAAAAAATAATCACACAACATTGAAGTGCAAATTAGTCATTTTGCAATGAAAAATTACAAAAGTCACAAAAATTACCAAATTGTTACAAAACAAATTGACTAAGAAATTTTGACTTAATACATAATATTTTTGGAAGTAGGTTAAAAATTAATTTTTTGACTTTCTTAAAAAAAAATATTAAAAATAATAAAGAAATGATGTGACTTAAAAAAATAAAAATATTAAAAAATTAACTTTTAATTTAGATGCCAAAATAGACCTAAGGTTTTTTCGCTTACCTTTTCTACCTAAGTTTTTCACTCATCTTTTAGTTTAAAAAGGTACGTCCCGAACGCTGCTATGTGATGCTTCAAGACGAATAAATGAGAATAAAGAATTGACATTCACATTCTATATTTTACTTCGTGCACTCTAGTGTTTTGTTTTAGCCTAGGAAAAAAAAAGAGACGTGTATAATGGGGTGTTTGGTGGGATTTTTTTGAGTCAATTTATGCCTTTTGGTTTTTAAAAAGTTATTTTGGACTGTTTGATTAAACTTATTTCAAATAGTTCTGATTCTAACAACTTATTTTAAGTCAAAAAACTGATTCTGAGAAGCTGTTCACCCCTTACTTCTGATTATCAATTTCTGCTGTGGACATGTTAATTCACGGTTATACTCTTAAATTTTTTTTTTTTTAAAAAATAGAAAAAAATCCAAATGGATTATAAAATATTATTATTATTTTTTATGAGAAATGTAGACAAATAGTGAATAATAAAAAATAAAAATTAATTAAAAAAGTTACTTCACAGCTTATTTAACAAACATTACTCAGCAACTTAAATCTATAATTCAACAGTTATAACAAACAGATTAACAGCTTCTGATTAAAGTCATAATCTATAATCTGTTAAGTTACAATTTATAATCTGTTTTAACAAGTACACCAAACAGCATTAACTAATGTAAGAACTTAAATGTGGAGCATGAATAGGAATTTGTGAAAACAAATTGTGCTAATGGTCAACTTTCAAATGCACAATCAAGCCTAGTTTGGGATTTGATTTTTAAATGATTTTTTTTTTTTTAATAAAAGAAGTTGATATGTTTAATAACGACTTTTCATCGAAAAATATGAACAACTGATATGTATAACTTACTTTTTTATTGCATTTTCTTTCTCTTTTGTAAAGTTAAAAATGTCAAGTTGTCAAATTAAATCACCTTGAGTTTGGAAATTAAATTTTTTATAAAATGATATGTGAAAGAAAGAAATAAAATAATTTAATAATTCGTAGTCACTTTTTTTTATTAAAAATATGGTTCTTAAACATGGTCTTAGTTTGAAATGTGAGGGTAATGTAGTAATTCAATGTAAAATATAATTTTATTAAAAAGACTAAAGAGTATTTTGAAAAGGTGGTTAAAAGTTGACTTTAAACTTTTAATCAAATTTTTTGATTTCTCTAAAAAGTAATTTGAAAAAGTAATAAAAATTTATTTTTTAGTTTTTTAATAATATTTATTTATGTTGTCATATCAAATTCAAATGACTAAAATATTTTCACACAAAAGATTTTGTCCAAGCCCACAAATATAAATGTGGGTATAATTATAATTTTACAAGTAACTTTTAACAACCTTTCTAAATGATTATAATGATTTTTTTTGTTTTTTTTGACAAATTACAAGATGCAACTTTTATTTTTTTCCCAAATGACACCTAATAAGCCCCTGGAGCATGGTTGGGTTTAATAACGTCTTAATTTCTGACAGACAGCGAAGAAACAATTGTTTGATTTGTTACCACCAGGAATCCTGACGGGAATGTAGTGGTGGAACAAAACTTCATCCTCCCTCCATAATAGAGAGACTTCAAATTAAGAGGTTAGCCTTAAGTTGTTACTATCACAGTATTTGATATAGGCTCAATACTCTCTCGCTATTTTAGTCTTGACTTAAGCAGAGATTGTCTTGAGAGGTCGGGGTAAGTTCCCAGGTTATAGTTTCCTATCTCGGAACGGACAACAGGATATTTTTGTGATCTCTGCAAGGGGCACTGCCTTGGACTTGCGGAATAGTGGAAGGATTTTCCTGTAACAAAAAAAAAACACCATTATTTAGATCTATAGTTGACTGTACTTTTGGTACACGAAATTCATATAAAAAATATAAAAATGTTTGAAATCTCTAAAGTTGAAAGTTTTATGGCGTCCAAAATAATATAGATTAATCATGTATTTTTATTTTTTTGTTTTTTGTTTTTTCTTTTATTCTTAGATCAATCACAGATGAGCGGGGATTGTGAGAGTTGTATCTTTTTAGAAGTCTGTAACATTGTTGAAAAAAATATTAAGAAAATTAGTTTTTGATATAAATTTATTTTAAATGTGGTTGATATCAAATATGGGTAAAATACGTGCCATACATAATTATTTTTTTAATATTTTGATATTGCTGAATTACCTTAGTCACAAAACACTAAAATTAATGCCACCTTGTTGAACCTTGTCCATTCTTTAAAAGTCTTTACACTTTCAAATTAAGAAATCAATTAGAGGTTTTGGGGTGTTCATATCTTAGATCAGTCTAGTTTTAGAGTAAATTAGAGATCAAAATGGTCTTTATGGATTCAATAATGCTAGGTATCATGAAAACAATGTCATGAAAAGTTTTCATGAAGATTCTCCACCCTTGGTAAAAGTCTTTACACTTTCAAATTAAGAAATCAATTAGAGGTTTTGGGGTGTTCATATCTTAGATCAGTCTAGTTTTAGAGTAAATTAGAGATCAAAATGGTCTTTATGGATTTACAAAAATTGAAACTACAATTGAACAGTTGAGCTTTTATAACCGGATCATAATCGAATCATATAATTGATTTTGTGTGGTTTAATTTTACGATTTTTAATATATATATTGTATTATAGGCAAAAAAAAAAAAAAATACAAAACAAAATAAAACAAAACAAAATAAACAACAACAACAAGCATGGTTGAGTTGTTCTCAATTTCAAACTTGCAAACCAAACCAATTGGGACAATAAAATGGAGATCCAAATGGAAGTTAATAAAATCTAGACTATTTGTGATTTGGACATAATTGGACCAATTTATGAGTTTCATCAGTGTTTTTGAACACCTTTATCATAGGTTAACTTTTCTCAATTTTGGATTTTAGTTTGATATATATTATCATGATATTGTAATACATCTCTCTTAGCACCATCAATTTGTAATTTTATTATTTATTATTTATATAATTACAGGACATGTAGCACTCTTCTACTCATTTGGAGATTATGAGAAGTTATAAAATGTGAAAATATGATGGAGAATATAGAGCATGAAGTGGTGGTTGAAGGAAATTATGGAAGATTATGAAAGATGAAATGGAGGAGGTGGAAGAGTGGATAATTTTAGGTAATTTTTCTTACAAATATTTGTCTATAAATAGTCATTCATGACTACATTGTAAAAGATCCAAAACTCAAATAAAAAACAATTGATTTCTATTTTCTTGTCATTTATATTTCCTGCACTTCATTTTCAAAGTATAGGAGTAGAGGTAAATTTTCTACACTTTATTTTATGTATTTTTTTTCGAAGTATAGGAGTAGAGGTAAATTAATTGTTAGTTTGATTGTTCACTCAATCATCCTGATTGTTTACTCAATCATCTTTCTCCGTCTTTCTTTTTCTTCTTTTAATTTTTCCTTTGTCTACACTTGGCAATTTTCAAAGTCCTCTTTATTGAGGCAATAGAATAGTCAACACAATTGCTTGATAATTGACTTGAATTTAATCTGTAAAATTTTTTTAATCCTTATTGACACGCTCGCATTTATGATATTTTCTTTCGTAG